ACCGCTTCTTTCTTGAGAGCAAGCAAATCTTCCAACCTCATTGAAGACTGTAATTTAGGAAACAGTAGCATGTCGCTTCAGTGCCTTGACAAGTCAGAGGATCATATGAAAGATAATATCTCTGCTGAGCAGGAAAAAAAGCTGGACTCTCAACTTCCATTCCATGATTGGTTGGCTCTTCCATGGTTGAAGGAACGGCAGAAGCTCCCAACATTAGAAGATAAAAAGTGCCGTCCTGTTGATGCTCTTGGAAAAATGTCCAATCCATTTCATAATTAATGCTGTTAAACTAATTAATTTTTTTTGTCCTGCAGAGAGAAGATTGCCACTGAGTCTAGGAGACAACAACTACAGTCATCTCCTCTTCTTCCGAAGATTACTATGGTTGGTATCTCAGCAGGAGAGGCAGGGCAGATGAACAAGGCCACATTAAAAAAGACAATGGAGGATCTAACAAAAGAATTAGAAAGGATGGATCCGTCAAATCAGCCAGGAACTGTTAGTAACGAACTTAAAATCGAAGAGAGAGATCCTCTTTTTGTGGCAAATATTGGTGATTATGTAAAAGCTGGTTCAGCTAGATTGATTAGGAGAGAAGCCAACTAGACACATTACCAGTTTTGTATCTTTGTTGCATTTAGCTTGTGTAGTTGTTCCAGGTACTGGGAAGATGTAAATCAGTGGGGCAATTCATGTTTGTGTGGTACTAGTGGATGATGTGCTGTGTTTCTGGTGGTTAGAACTGGTAGCATTGGGTTATTAGTCTTACAATAAGCGCCAAGAATAGCAGTTTCATACGGGTAGAAAGTACAGTATTTCTGAGCCTTGTGCCTTTTTGTTGTAGCTGATGATCTGAAAGTTTTGGCAGCAGTGATAGAGTTTCTTATGGGCATTTCTTGGGCATGTGATAATAATACTCTGGATCTGTTACTAGTATCTTTTTGAAGTCATGTTTACCTTGTTCGTTCGAACAGATGAGAATGGGGAATTTGCATCGACATTAGTTATGTACAATAGATTGAAGGCTTATGTGAAAAAGGAAGATTTATGCATGTGACGCTCGTTTGTGAAGAATTTGTTTTACTAACGACTTTGCGGAGACCTGTGTTTTTGGTAAACAGTCGCCCGAGCCTGGTCACTGCGACCCCCTTTGTGAGGAGGCACCCCTTCTCCCGAAGTTACGGGGCTAGATTAAGATATTGAGAGGACTCTTTCTGACAAAAATATGTAATTGTCAGCAAAGTTGTTGCTTTTTTTCTTTTCTTCAAATCCAAAAATTTATTATTTATACATAACACATAGGTCGTCGATTCAGCATTGGATAAAGGGGGCAAAATGCCCATCTTTTTCATTTTTACAATAAGCGTTTCATATCGATAGGAGTGTTCTCTATCGATAAAATATTAAGGGGTGATCTCGTAGTTCTTGGCCTGTGAAGATGCGTTGTTAGGTGCTCCATTTTTTCCCATTGAGGCCGAACCTAAACCTGTGCTCGAGAGATAGCTGTCCATACACTGATAAGGGATGTACGCTAACACCAGAAAAATGATTAAAAAAAATAAAATAAAATTTTGTTTGCTCATTTTTGGGTGTCATTTTTGGTTGAGTTGGAGCAGCAAAGCGTCCGGTTTGCAAATGATTGCACGATGCCAAAGAAGGACCAAATACGTTTCCTTTTCAGCAATTTGAGAGGTGTTACTCCGTTGCAAATGGATGATTGATGGACTTCAAAGTTCAAATCAAGGCTGTCGTCCTCATCAAACTTTCGATGGACTTGGCTTGGCTGAGGAGTCAGACAACGAAATTCGGTAGAATAGAAGATAAGGATTTGGTTTTAGCCATTCACTTGTGTATGTGCCCGAATATTTCCATATCCGGTAACAGCGACCAATTGCATACGAACCAACGCCAGAAAAGTCAGTGATCGGACCTTTAGAGTTCTTCTTACTATCTATCTACCAGGTTTAGAATTATCGAGCTTTTAAAATTCTCTTTACTATCTATCAGGTTTAGAATTCGCGGTCTGATAATTAAGGATAAAAAGGGTACGAGTAACAAAAAAAAATGGTTCGAAATCTTGATCCAATTCCATAAAGTGGGAGGAGAAAAGGAAAAAAAAAAAAAAAAAGCGCCAATGTTAACATCAAATCAACTCGTTTAAACAATCATTAACAAGACAGAAAAAAGAATAGTCGATTGGAACGGAGCCACGTTCTGCATCTGCTGTAGCTAAGCTGCGGTGGTTGTTTGTACCTCAAAATTTTGTCCTATTCACCATTGTAGATTTCGTGGTGCGTCGCGATTCTCCAAACCATTCTGTGCCACCCACCACACAGTATCACCAAGTGCTGTCAAGCTGGTTGACCAATTCCCCCTCGAATAGATATGGAACCGAAAAAAGTGAAGAATCACCAAAGAGGAAGTGGCCGTCTTTTCTTTTATTCGGCCAAACCCACCACCAACGGGTGACACCAAGTTAAAAACACCCTCCGGCTCCACGAAGGGCACGGCCGCCCCCCGAGGACAACTGCAACCAAGTCTCTAAAGTCGAAGGCCTAACTTTTCTGGGAGATGCATTAATCGGATATAGCTGATTCACTCTCAAGCACTTTTGCAAGCACTTTTGCTTTTTCCTTCCCCTTTCTTTGAACCTGAAAAAGATCCCGTAAAGCAACATGCTGATGTAGACGCTGAACACAGGCACCAAAGAATGCTAGTCAGTTCAACTTAATTTTCTTCGACTTGCTGTTCATTAAAGTATCCCTCCCATTCATCAACGACGATACATGTAGTTATTCATCGTGTCCCTATTACACATGATATCTCTATGATTACACCTCAGTTTCTGTTCAACGTTTGCCAAACTGTAATCATCATTGATCCTGAAACGATCGATCATACCATCTTTTTAAGTGAGTATTTAGTGGAAGAAGGCCAGCAATCCAAATTAAGCATCCTCTTTTTAAGTGAGTATTTGTTTTGAACTGAAGAGAATTTCAATTGAACACTTCTTGACTGATTATATCATTTTTATGGCTGGTATGGCGGTTCAGTAGTTGGATATTTCCTTCCTCGGTTTGATTAAAATTGCAGTTCTTTTGTTGATCCACATGTCTTGGATTAAGTTATCCTATTCAACCCCAATTATCCCTCTTTAACTCTCACCCCCCACCCTTAACTCTAAAGAATTTTTTTGTGGTAATGAACACCATCCATCGGTTAACCAAATCTCAGTATCTTATATCCCAATGCATCACCAAAAAAGAACTAAAGTCCCTCTTTGAACTGTAAGTTAAGGAATGGAACCCTATCTGCAGTGAAAAAAGTTTAAAGTTTAAAGGATGTGTCAGAACACTCCTTTGATTTACTATGTTCTTATATCTGCTAGTCCCTTATATATATAGCTTCTTTAAGCCCCCTCCCCTGAAATTAGGATAGATTATATTATAGAAAAGTTACGGCGTTGCCAAAAAAAAAAAAAAACATGCTTGAAGTGGTTTCGACTTTCCCTTTTTCTTGTGTTGACATAGATTAGATTGCTAGTGTTACTGGCTTGCTGTATTACGTCAACATTCCTATGCCAGGTACCAGCAAAGCCGAATCTACGAGCCATGCCCTTTCGTTCTTTCTGTAGTAGCTGCTATTTGTTTCCCTTCTGCTAGAAATTGACCCCTCTTAGGATCTACCACCACTGGTTACAAGATTACCATATCTTTGGCTCTAGCATTTGATTTTGGTTGAACCAGGACCATCTGAGATGAGATGCGAACCCTCTAACAAAGTAGAGCAACAAAACAGCATCTTTAGAATAGAGGATATATTCTAAGCCTTTGGCAGCTCTATGGGTCTTGACTGCATCGAGGGGAACAAGGGCTATGAAAGAAAAACCAACATAATCGATCTTTCAGCATCTTCAAACTGACGTAACGAAAATCAAAAGAGGTCTGTCAAATGCCCCATTTTCTTTTGTTTTGTTTTTGGATTTTGTCATATGTTTCTCTTGTTTGCCGTAGGATGCCCATAAATTCTAACTTTTCTCATTAATTTAAACTTTAGTCTGTACAATTAACAAATAATTGTACGTATGCACAGGCCATTACATTGCTTTTCCATCTTAACCAACGACGTGGGGGATGATGCAAATACATTATTTCACTTCGTTGAATCAGTCTATTTGCCAAGCAATCAATCTAATGACGGTGAACCTCGAGACTCCGGGCTCTCACGGGCGACCAAAAAACAATCGCAGTCTATACTCGCTTGCCAAGGATATTTGCATCGATAGGCCTGCCTGCGCTAAGCAATTCCTAGTCGGAACGAATGGTTATGTGCTTGTGTTTTCAGACTTCAGCTTGCCCTTTTACTAGTTTAGTTTTTTTTTGTGTTTTAACCACTCCAAAATTCTTTTGGACGCGGACCATATTCCTTGAGAACCAGTAAATTCTGGAAGGGATCATGATGGCATGACGCAAATCATAGAAAATTGGAATCTTTCCTCCACTGTTTCGCGAAAAGTGGCCATCACAGTGGGAGCATTTGCCAACTTGGGGTTGAACTGGGGAGGGTGTAAAAGTTTCTCCAAACATATATCATTGGAGGTTTTTGGAGGCTGGAGCTCTATTTTCACAATGATATATATGGTAGTATAACAAATATACGACTGAAGAAGTTAAGCTCAAAAATTTGGTACACAATTCGGCTAAAAGTTGCATGATGCACAATTCTATCGTTGCACAAGAAAAGTAGATCAATTAATCACCGTGCTTTGCTCAATGGCTACCACCAAAGTCTGTAAGATTTGGTGGGGTGGGAGATCAATGACTCAAAATTTGTCCCACCATCGATCACTATATATGATCTGTCACTTTAAATGATTCCAGACGGACACGGACGGTGGTGATTCAGTCCCCACCGATGATTTTTTCTTAGTTTCTTCAGGTCCCTCTCCCACTCCCATAGTATAGAATAAATATATGTCTATCGTGTCTAAAAAAAAAAAGAAAAAAGAAAAGTAGATCAATTGAAATTTTATACCCAAAACGAAATATTCTTACAACAATAAGGTCTATATATCTCAAACATAATTTATTCCCACACAATCGATAAATTTGCACGCTTGGAAGATTAAAAGCGCAAAATCCTGTGCAGGTTGAAGTTGTACCTGCCTAGGCTAGGAGTATAGCACCCGCCTTATCAACTCCCAGCCCCCCCACTTTGACGTTTCTGCAAAGTCAATCTCAGAAGCTCAAGGCATATCTTATTCCATATCAAAGATGCCAAAGCGCTGACTCCGGAACCACTTTGCTTCTCTCCTCCATCGACTGACAGAGACAATGTGGAAAATCTTTATATTCCTCTTCGGGTATAAATAGACAGAGAGATACCAGTGGTAATAAAAGAATCAAGGTCAGAGCCTGTCTCTGTATCTTTTGCTTCTCTTCACCCCACTCCTCCATTCTAATAGGCTCCCCCTGCATTTGCATTATTGATTATACTACAAGATTAATTATCTCTTCCAAAAGTCAGCGCCGTCCTCCTCGGGCCCCCTCTGATTTTTCCACCTTTTGTCTCCCATCTCCAATTTGCAGAATGCTACAGTACGCTAGTGGACAGGACAACACTGATGATTTTTAGCATTAAGGAAAAAGGGGAAAAAATAAAGCCTGTGCCCCTTTGTCTGTTTGTAGTTTTTTTTGGACTCTGAAGCCAAGCGTAAGCAGAGTGGTGGGATTGGAGAACTGGAGGTGTGTGCACTAAATAGTGTATATCCCGGCCCTGATGAATCGCTCAATATATGGCTGATGACTGGGATTTGTATGCGGTGGTGAGGAGCTGCTTCAACGCCGCTGCTGCATCAACAGCCTCCTCATCCACTACGACTGACGCCGCCATAGCCCCTGTTGAGAACAGCAGCCTGCCATCGGGAGAGACGCCGTCGTCGTCGTCATTCCTAGCTTCTCCTTCATTTCAAAGCGGCCACACTTCATCTGATTTTCCGGGCTTTGCAAATCACACGAGGGACTCCTTTCGGGGACTCCAAGAAATTTACAAGGAACCGTACGAGGATATAGTACAATCTTTCGTCGACCTTAATTCACAAGCTCAGCACATCCAAGCAATCCAAGGCCCTGGATGCACAGCAGATCAGACACCTCAACAGCAACGGATATATGGACAACCACAGCAGCTGATGCAGCAACCGCAAAGATATTCACACCTCAGCCGTGAGATGTTTGTTGGTTCTTCCCTTTCTTTTCCATCTACAAGTCCTCAGCCCGAAAGGCCGCGAAGAAGGTAAGCGAGCATTTACTAGAAAACTCCAGGAATACTAACTATTTTTGGATCTTCCAACCCAGATCGAGTCGAAATAACAACTAAATTAAGTTGTACGTCATAGAATTAATGTGGCTCAGCTTTTGAATATTAGTATACAATTCCAATCAACGATAGAGAAGAATCGAAACTAGCATAGAATCTTGACACCGTATTTTTAAGTGTTTCAAGAAATGCAAATTAATAGCATCTTCCTAAACAGGAAAAACCAGCAGGCCAAGAGGATTCAACAAATGACACAAGAAGAATTATCAGCTGATTCATGGGCATGGAGAAAATACGGTCAAAAGCCAATTAAAGATTCCCCGTATCCAAGGTTTTTTTCTCTTTGATCACCCATTCCGGCTATATCCCAATTATTTGGTTATCACATGGAAATGTTGCAAGGAAAAGTTCCGTCACATTAATTTTAACTTTCCGGATAATTGAGCAATGACACTAGATAGTTTTGTTGGGATAAAAAATCAATCAGAAACTACTACAGATGTAGCACCTCGAAAGGATGTACAGCGAGGAAACAAGTGGAGCGATGCCCTGCGGATCCTAGCATGTACGTGGTCTCATACAGCGGGGAACACTCGCACCCCCGTCCTACGCACCGGAGCTCCCTCGCTGGTACTACCCGCAGCAAAGTACCCCCCGCTGCCGCCGCCAGGCGCCCCACCACCACCACCGCTACTACTACTTCCACCACTAATATCCATAACATTGCCTCCTCATCAATAGCTTCTTGTTCTTCATCATCTCCAGCCTCTGCTTCCAGTTTCTCTCCAACCGCCACGCCCATAACAGAAGGCGACAGTGGCGTAGACGAAAATGTGGATCAAGAGACTGCAGATAACGAAAACAACAACAGCTGCGGCGCAGAATTATTATTTTCAGGGGAGGAGGAGTTAGAGGGGTGGGCGGATGATGGTGATGACGATGATGAAAATGATGGCGATGGGAACGGGGATGATGATATTCTCATTCCTAACTATGCTCTCGTGAATGATGATCGTTTCTTCAAGGGCTTACATTTTAAGGACTAAAGTCTGAAGTGGTAGCCTGGTGATAACTCGTAGTCGTACGTGACGTGGTACGAGGATTTTGTTCTCATCGCCTGCTGCGACGGCTGCTTAGTAGTTGGCCCGGGAAATTCGAGACATTTGGACTAGGACATCCGCAAGCTGTTGTGGCCGGCAGCCGAATTAATGAGGTGATCCTGAAAGAAATAAAACTGTGTTTATCCTCCACCCAACTTTCTTGTTTTCTTTTAGCCTGTGATTCCTTTAGATTTGTGACTTCAGCTTTATCAAAGTATTAGCAGCTTCTAAGGATCAGTCAGTCGTGTACTTGTTGGGTGAAGTTTTGTGTAGAATAAAAGGTGCCCAGCCACGAGCCAACCATTCCATGGAGTCAAATTTTGAGTCTGTCCTAGAATTCCTAAACGAGGATTCTATCTTTCATCATCGTTGAGGAGCTCATGGGACAAACATTCCCCGCAATTTCACCTGGAAAATAGATTTAATTGGTCTTTCTTTCATTTGACTGTTTCAGGACCTTATAAAATGACTGGTTATTTTTCATTTGCGTTACGCATCAAATAGTTGACCACCATTACATAATACAAGCCCCGCTTCCGACAGAATTTATAAGTGAAAGGAGATATCGAATAATAAAAAGGGAAAAAAAAAACTGAAAAGGTCACGTTACTCGAGATTCATTTTGTAAATTTGTGCCGAATATTTTAATTCAACAACTTCATCTTTAGCCCAATATATTAGCAGATTGGATTGGAAATGAATCTACTGTATAATACAATGCAAAGCTTAATGAACAAACATGTCATTTCTTGTTATTAGAGCTTAAAGATGAACAAACTATTCGATCTGATAAAAGCTCGTTAGAACTTGATTTATCAACTAGTCAAACCGAACTTGAATAACGTTTTATGTTTGATAACCTTTAAATTCAATAAAAAAAATTCGTTCAAACTCGATCTTGTAAAAAAAATAAATAAAATTTTAAACTCGTTAAAATAATCAAATAAGTTTGAATACTCAATTTTATTAGGAACGGATATATGTTGTTGTTAGCTACACAAGGAAAGTCAAGAAAAAAGCGGAGATACTAATGTGCTTTTAAGATTTAATGGACTCGGCTTAGTCTTGTATGAATGATAGTAGTTTGTCTTCATTATGAAGTGGAAGAAAGTCAACTTTCGCTCTTTGAGCGCAAACAATACACGTCACTTATAGACAGACACGCACGCCTAAAACCGATTCCCACACTCTATTTTCTCATCATCATCTGTTCTTAGGGACAATTAGAGTGTTAATCACAATTCAATTATGTTGATTTCTTCAAATCTGTTCATCAATAATTCATCCATTAATTTTGAATTGATCTAAATGAGTATTCAATTAAATTCATTTAATTGGTGGATAATAGATTGATTCAATTCATCCATTTATACCTATTTAAAAATAATTATACATTTAAACTCAACTTTTAGTAAGTGTTAAGCAAATAAATTTAAATTTCTTACTAATCTAATAACACTCAAATACCATTATTTCTTGTCAAATAACATGCAAAAAAATAAATAGAATTTTAAATAAATGGATAATTGGATATATCTATACCCATTTATTTAAATAAATTCTGAAGTTTCTAGTTTAAGCTGGATGTCAAATAAGCTCGAACGCGTGTTTATTAATAGGAACGTCCCTGGTATTGTAAAACAAGCAAGAACTTCAATTTAAATGAAAGTCTCGCTGCTCAACTCTATAAAGCTAACACGAGAGGGTCTCAGGGAGAAAATGATAAGTATTTCTTCCCACTATATTCCAATTAATTGTCCAGGTGGCGCTCCATCTTTTTGGCATTTCACTCTTCCCTACTAAATAAGGCAACTAGACTTCGTAGGCGTATGGACGGGTCTATCGACCTCTCGCACATTGAATATGTATAGTTTTGTCTAGTCCGGTTTGGAATGTGGCATGTAGAGAGCGAAAATCCGATGTTTGTTAAATGGTTATTTTTCAACATTGCACATCTGATGATACCAAAGGCCAAAGACACTTAGGGTTAGAGCTGTAAACGAATCGAATCGAACCGAGTATCTCATGTTTGAACTCTGTTCGTTAAGTGATTCGAACAACGTTCGTGTTCGTTCGTTAATTTTCGAACTCCAAACCTGTGTTCGTATTCGACTCGTTAAGCAAAGTTCGTGTTCGAGTTCGTATTCAACTCGTATTAATCATTCTAAAAAATAATTAAAACACTAAGTGACTAAATTCTATTATTCATTAACTATATAACTAACATTAACATAAAAACAACAAATAAAACAAAGCAATTTGCCCTCCAAATATAAAAGTCCAGCTATAAAATTAACCCTAAAATTTGTCAAATGATAATTATGTTCATGTTCGCGAACGTTCGTTAAAATTCGCGAACATGCTCGTATTCGCTCGATTATTAATCGAACAAAAAAATTCGTTCGAACTCGGTTCGTTTAAGGTTTCGAACGAGCCTTTCACGAACACGAATGAGTTGAAACGAACCGAGCTACCGAACAGCTCGGTTCGTTTAACAGCTCTACTTAGGGTGAGTATGATAAAACTGAAATATGTAATTCGAATTGTGAATCTATTACGTTATTGAATTGTTAAATATTAAATTTGATACATTTGAGTGCGTATTACGTTAAGTAATAAGTGAATAGTTTATTATTTATTTTTTATAATAAATTTTGTCTGAAAAATTTAGTATTATTTAATTAATTCAGATGTTCAATTTTTGTTATCAAACACATCTGAATATGTTAAGATCTGAATCCATTAAATTTAAGTGTTGAATTGAATTATCAAATAGGACCAATTAACGAAGGTTAAAAGGGAAAAATTAGCACTACTCCTTTAAACTTAAAATTGATTATCTCGAACAGTGAGCATACACATGGCTAACATTGTGCTAGGACACTTGTTTAAAAACCCCATATGTGCCTTCGAGATATCCCCAAAAGCAGGCCGAACATTGGATGTGAGCCCTGAATGAATACACTTGGACACGAAATCAAAAGAACCCATAATATCCGGCCTCCTGGGTGCTGGACCATAATCCAAAATGGCCCAATGAGTAACTCGCACCTTTTACTGGAAAAGTAAAGGGAACCAATTCGGAGTGTAGCTTGGTAATCTTCAGACTTCAGCTCTGACTTCCATTCCAATACTGAGTGAGCAAGCGAGCCACAGAACGATCTGCCCATCGAGTCAACTTGTCCAGAGAAAGAGCGAGTCAGAATGTTTCTGCGGAGGGTGGCTCGGCCGTTAATGATGATGGCGAAGGTGAAGGAGACGACGGGGATCGTAGGGCTAGATGTTGTGCCAAATGCTAGGGAGGTTTTAATCAGTCTGTATAGCAAAACCCTAGAGGAGATCAAGGCCGTCCCCGAGGATGAAGGATATCGTAAGGCTGTGGAAAGCTTCACCCGCCACCGGCTCAAGGTGTGCCGGGAGGAAGAGGACTGGGAATCGATCGAGAAGCGTCTGGGTTGCGGCCAGGTCGAAGAGCTTATTGAAGAGGCTAAGGATGAACTCAAGCTCATCGGCCACATGATCGGTATCCGCATTCTACATTTCATTTTCTTTTTTTCAAATAATTAAGAATGATTTTCTAGTCGCTTCCGTTGTTTATTATTATTATTATTATTTAAATGCGTGGCATTTTCCCTGCATCTGCCGTGAATTTTTTTTTTTTTTTAAAAGTGATCAAATAAAATTTTCTGGTTGGTTTAATTGCTCTTGAGAAAGTTTGTGGTCTGTTTGTAGGGGAGGGAGGGGGAAAATGGTGTTGCTTTGGGAAATAGTGGATGTTCTACAGTTAATTGTATGCTTTCTTACTGCTTGGTCTTCTATCCTTTTTTTTTTTTTTTGAGGATATAGAACGAGCTTTTGAGAAGATGACATTGTACGGTTTCAAAAAAAGCTTAAGTTTGCATCTTCTTTGCTATAAGTTTTCGAAGACTTGGGCTGACATTGGAAGCTTTCATCCTATTCAGTTTTGAATCTATAGACATTTTAGTTTTGGGGATGATGAGGGCAGTGGAGCTAGAGAGAGTTGTTAACTATTCTTGTGCATTGACCACTGATTATTATTATTATTATTATTTTTTACTTCTTTGAAAGGACTTGGGAGTTTTCCGGGGAGTGGTCAGAGCATAAAATAGAACTTTGGGTTTTGATAGGTGAATGGTTATCTTAGGAGTAGGGTAGTGGTAATTGTTTGATGAGTTGGTATTAGTAATATTTGTAACAATCTGTTTTCTAATTGATTATGAGAATCTGGATTGCAATTTGCTTTCTTATCTGATTTCTCGGCAGCTGTGAAGAACCTCAAGGTTCCTTCATATGTCTAGTTAGAGGTCAGAAGAAACCAAGCACCCTAGTTTAATAGAATTGAGCGAGCAAACTATTAAGTAGTAATGTCTTATTGAGTGAGTCAAGAAGTAAAAGCTCTCGTCATCTCTTCTTCTATTTTGCTCCTTTTCAAATGGTAAACAGTGAAAAATTGACGTGAACTAATCGCAAATTGATCTGTGACTTGGGAGTGCATGATCTAGTCAACAAAAGAAGTATTTTGCTGGTCTTGGTTGATCAGCTTCATGGCTATTGTCTATATTTGTCTTGTTGTATTGGTGGTTATGTATTTAAATTTTCAAACCACATTTGACAAACGTAGATGTTCTAAATGTCGAGAGGATGTAATGCTTTTTCTACTCTGATATTGTCACTCCAGAGTCGTTATCTTTACTAATCTTGATGCCAATTCCAAGTTTATACTGGTTCAAATGGCTTGAAACTGGAGCCATCTAATATTGGAGGAAGTCTCCAGTTAAATATTGCCGATTTGATGTTTTGGTCACTTGGGTGTCTTTGTTTCAAGTGCAGAGTGGAAACCATGGGGTATCCCAGATGATTATGAATGTGAAGTTATCGAAAATGATGCTCCAGTTCCAAAGCATATACCCTTGCATCGACCTGGACCTCTTCCTGAAGAGTTTTATAGGACGCTTGAGGCCGTTTCTACCAACACTTTGGAAGATGCTGTTTCACGCTCAGAGAAAGATGAGCCTGCAATTGCATCTGGCGAGCAGCAATCTAAGTAGCACTCCACAGCTTCTTCTTTTGGCTTGTTCTTCTTTTTGCCGAGCCACATCAAGTTTAGTACTGATTGGTGCCCTCTTTTTTTTTGTAATTTCACAAAAACAGTTCTGTTCGGATCGGATCGGAGTTTATCTGTGGGATTAAAGATTGAACCACTAGTTAATAATCGGAAGTTGAGTGGCTTTTACCAAATTTGACCGCAGCTATCCGCATTCTGGTTTAACTAAACAACTTAGGGTAGTATGCCCATTTCACCCATGTCCCAAGGCGCCATTATTTCTTATTGTTTCTCATTTGAGTTCTTGCTGTTGGTTGGCTATCATGTAGTTAAACTGTTGCTGTCAGCTTAATTGATCCTTCCCTTGAATCACTATGAAGTTGAGGGGGTTCCTTGTGAATATATGTATTATATTTATGTGCTGACCCTGCTCAAGTTTGGGATCCGTTTGACCTTCGTTGCCCCTTCACATGAACAATTTAGTTTTCTTAGGAGACTAGAAAGTGGACCATATATATTACCTTTTCAGTTAAACTGGTGGTCATCAAAGTTAGATTGAATGTTGATTGTCCCCAGTTTTCTGTTGAAATACTTTAAACCGGTGTTTCTGTTTGCTATTACTTTCCTTGCAAAAACTCTTGCAGTATATGGTTGTGTAGCTGATGATCAAGAACAGTTTACTTCTTTCTGTTTGTTCACGTTCTTTTGTAAGTTGTTGGCAGGAATATTCTAAAGGGTAAATAGAACTTGCCGACCACCTGAGAAGGATCGATTGACGCTGCTTTCCTACATGACCTACAATCCAACAAATAAACTTGAATAAATTGAATTGGCATGAATTAACTTGGGGGCTGACTACTGAGTACCTTAATAACTTGGGGCCTTTCCAATGGGCGCAAATTTTGGTAGTTGTTCATTACGATAATGTAAACAAAGAGCTTGAAACTGTGCTTGGATGTGTAGCGTCGCTCAATTAGCATGTCTATTAATTTGAATGAGTTTATTTTTAAAAAAAAAAGCAACTGAGAGTGATAAATACAAGTATAGGAATTTCTAAATTCAAAGAGGTGTGACATCATCAACATGAGAATTTCTAAAATTAAAAAGTTTGGATTTTCCAACTTAGAAACCTGTTCATGTGTTATGATCAAGCTTCGGTCAACCCTGTTTTAGCAGTCAACTTTCAACCCACTATTTTGTTGTTAACATTTGCAGCATGGTCAACTCCATCCTCAGGCCTCGGGGTTATGGTCCAAACTAACTACAAAATCCATCGGCGCTGATGATATCATTCTTGACGATGCCCTCGGAGGATCCAGACCCGAACCAGTGGACAGAGGTTGGATGAACCAATTTGAAGCAAGGATTTTTAACATTTTATAAGTAGCTTTGTTGGTCAAGATTCAACAACACTCCATAGCGTGTAGATGTCAGAATGACTGATGTGCTCTTGAAGTGCAAAGGAATGGGATGCGGGATGCCTATGCGGTAAACTTTATTCATTTTGGGACCGTTTGAATTGTGAATTTGGATTTAGGAAAATATTCCAAATTGAATGCATTATTTACAGGAGAATTTAGAATTTACAAAAATATTGGGGTAGGAAATGAACACATTCAGGGGCAAATGTCTACTTCCATTTAGGGATGTAATCAAGCCAAGTGGAGCTCGAGTATAATTGAATGCATTATTTACAGGAGAATTTAGAATTTACAAAAATATTGGGGTAGGAAATGAACACATTCAGGGGCAAATGTCTACTTCCATTTAGGGATTTAATCAAGCCAAGTCGAGCTATACTCGAGCTCGACTCGACTCATGTGTACCTAGGTTCGAGCTCGATCGAGTCCAAAAAATTGTAACTCGAGACTCGACTCGAAGAACTTTCTTTAAACTCGAGACTCGACTCGATAAGACTTGACTTTTAGTCAAACTTTATCAAGTCGAGTCTAATCAAGCTTTTTGACTCGACTCGAAAAAGCTTCTGAACCTTATTTTCTTCCCTTTTCCTAGACATTTTTTCTTTTTAGGTCTTTTTACAATTATGTTATTACTTTTTTGCTATTATGAAATTTTATTATAAAGAAGAGTATATTGTAAATTCAATATAAATTATACTCATAACGGTCATTTTATAATTATAATACATATATATTATTTAAATTATATATATTATTTAAATACACCCCGACTCAATGAGTAGCTCGACAAGCCTCAATCCTCAAATTATTGGTTCGAAACTCGACTCGAAAACCAATCGAGTAGGCTCGAGACTCGGTCGAACTCGATCAAACCAAGTTCAAGCCAAGCCATCGAGTAGCTCGGCTCGCATACATCCTACTTCCATTTTCATTTCTTCTTCTCGACAAAGAAGCCTTCCACCGTTTCAGCTGTGCTGCTTCTGTCTCTGCGCTTTTCGCCTTTCCTGCATGGCGATAGCAATAATTGCCAACATAACTTCTGTATCACACACGCATCCACCAAATATCGAGGCACTCAAATTCTAGCCCTTTCCTTAGTCTACACCTAGCTGTTCTGTCGTTGTCAGGCAACAATGGCCGCCGGCCATTTTTCCCTGATTTGTACATGCTCACAGAACAGTAGGCTACAAGAAAATACACCTTAAACGAGAAAGGTCTAAGATTGAGAATGGTAATGACATCTATATGGAAGAATTTGAAATCGAGTAATTTTAAACTCCCAAAATCCCTCTGAATTTTATGTTGGATTTCAAGTCCAGAATTCCAGATACCTATTGGGAAACCAGATATATAAAGGATTTGGATAAGAATCTCAAATCCAAATCGACCATATCCCTCAATCCAAAGTAAATGAAAAACGAGTTGTTGCCATTGGTCCGAAAGCCGAAATTTCTGCTAGCTAACATTCCTTCACCTCCTCACTGTAGTTGACTAGTTGTCAAAGAATCTCCTCCAGCCAGTACAGTTTTTTAAACAGAGAAACTCTGAAAAATGACAATAGAGACGGTTATATGAACTTGAATCTAGAAAAAAAAAAAGAAGTTACTTGCCAGTTAGAATGTATCTTTTCAGCATCTCATGAAGCAAAAACATCTTTCTGTCTGAATTCTGAAAGCAGCTCGGTCACAATTGGTTCATTTCCTTATCTTGCTTATACCACATCCAGTAAGCTTTACTGGGACCTTCACCTCATTAAAACACTGAAGCTGTTGTCTGTCGAGGAAACTATAATATCAACATGTGTTGCCTTCTTCGCAACAAATCATGATAAGCATAGACAAATTGTCTGGGATGCTTACAAACCTGTTGTAAAGAAGACCACGTGCCACTTCCAATCTGAGACTGTGAGATTAGGATTCTCACGAGCATTTGTATGAATACCATTTTAGCTTTACATTCTGTCTGCTATGTTCAAGTATCATGTTAAGATGGTACATCTCCAGCAATTAACAGAGGGACCATGTTGCTTTTCTCCATACAGCTATTGCTATAATCTTTCTGTATTATGCCTCTCTCTTTCATCATGCGCAGGTTCTCTCTTAGGTCAGATTTGCCGGAGTTCTCATACATGTCTGCAAGAAGCAAATAAAATGCTGGATTACAAGGTTCAAGTTCAAGACCTCGACTTGCCATTTCTTCACCAAGGGGTACATCTGAATGTATTTTGCAGGCATTCAACATTGTTTTGTAGATCAATGCATCAGGCCTGAAAGGCATCGTCTCTATTATAGCCATTGCCTCCTGCATCCTGCCAGCTCTGCCTAGTAGGTCAACCAAACAAACGTAATGCTCTAATTCTGGGACTGCATCATTTGCTTCTCTAGTAGAATGAAAATATTCTAAAGCCATATCAACCAAACCACAACGTCTGCAAGCAGATAGAACCGCCAATATTGTTGTGGAATCAGGTCTAACTCCTGCTAACTTCATGTCTTCAAAAGTGGAGAGAGCAGAGGAGAAGTGACCGCTAACTGCTAGGCTGAAAATCAAGCTGTTCCATGAGACTACGTCTGGCTGACAAGCTTCATCAAAGGCTCTCTTTACATCATGCATGCACCCACATTTGCCAAAAAAAGCAATCAAACCATTTGAGACTGAGGTCCAGCCACTGAAGCCAGATTTAATAGCGTAACAATGAAGTTGCTTCCCCTGCAGTATTGCACCTAAGCTGGCTGATGCTGACAAGACAGTGGACAGGGTAAACCCATCCATCTCAATGTTATCTTCTTGCATGTAACTGATCACCTCCAAAGCCATTTCAAAAAGTCCTAATTGGTTAAGTTTGCTCGCTATGCTTGTATATGTGATAACATCTCTATGATGCATTTCACCTATTATACGCCATGCATCATCAACCATATGGAGTCCAGCATAGGCACCAACAAGAGCATTCGCCACAACTATATCATGGCCAATGTTCATTTTGATTATGTATCCATGAAACCTTCTTGTATGATTTGCAGATTTCATCATTCCACAAGCCTGAAGGATACTGGACAAGGTAAAAGAATTTGGCATTATCCCTGCAAACTGCATCTTTTCAAATGCTTGAAAAGCCTCGTATCCAAGACCATGTTCAACAAAGCCAGCAATCAAGGAAGTCCAAGAGATGATGTTTGGTGACCTTATTTGTTCAAATACTTTAAAAGCGTCAATTATTCCACCAGAACATTTCAAATACATATCAATGAGTGCATTTCCAACAGAAACATTATTTTCCAAGCCAATCTCAATAACCCTTGAGTGAAATTGTATCCCCAATTGCAATGTCAGAGCTAATGAGCAGCCATTCAAGACTACAGCATATGTATAACTATTTGGAGTGATCCCATGGGCCACCATCTGCTGTATTGCATCAACAGCCTCCTTGATCTCCAAGTTATGGCAAAAGCCACTCAATAGTGTTGTGCATAGAACTGTATCTTGCTCAAGAGTTTGCTTTGAGACCTTCATAGCATCTTCCATTCTCTTACATCTTGCATACATGTCAGTAAGAGCTGTCTTCAAAACCAAATTCAGCCGAATGCCCAAGACTAACATCCTGGCGTGGACTAATCTCCCAGAATTTAAATAAGTAAGACCACCACATGCGCTCAAAATTTTTGCATACGTGTATTCATTTGGTTGAATTTCTCGTTTGATCATGCATATGAAGAGTCGCAGCGCAGTAATCCAGCTCCCCTCTTGGATAAATGAAGAGATCATAGTTGTCCAAGAAACAGTGTCACCATTCCGCATATTCATGAATATCTTCTGTGCTGCTTCTTTGTTATCACATTTAGAGTACATATCAATCAAACTGCTAGTTAAAACAGGATTTGAATCAAAACCATTCTTTGTTGCACAGGCCTGGACTTTAGTTCCTTGGTTACAATCCCGAAGAGCTGAGCAGGCCCTGATCACAATCGAAAGCGTATACTCATTTGGGCATTCCCCAGAAAACTTCATCAAATCATACAGCTCAAGAGCTTCCTCGTAGCAACCATCTTTGACATAAGCAGACAACAATCCAGACCAGGACACAACATCCTTGTATGGCATTTCCTCAAAGAAGTGGCGTGCATGAACAACTCCATAGCATTTTGAATATAGAGCGAGCAAGTTATTGCTGATCCATAAATTATCTTGAAAACCCGCTTTGATAATTGGGCTGTGGACACAAATGCCCTCTTTCAGTAATTGTTTATTGCAATATGATACAATCTTTGAGCAGGTTTCTTCGAAATTGTGTGGTCCTGTCCTGTGTGAAAGCCTCAAGGCATTTCGCCATGACATATTGTGAAACTTTTCAAAACAAATTTGAATGGCTTAAAAAGGAAATAAATTAATTAAGACCGTTTGAATTACTCAGTTTCTTCCAAAAACAATTGATCCAAACACAGCCCTATTTTTTAAAAGTTTTATAAAAAAAAATACATTATAATATATGTAAATTAAAAAATTAATTAAAAAATATATCAAAAAATCTTTTAAAAAAAATTACAAACCAAACACGGCCATAGTAACATTTACCGAGGCGTGTACTATTCACATGCCAAATGAGGAAGCAGCTAAGAAGTCTGAAAGAAGATGCTTACCGGTTGACGCTTCTAGCCTTCAAGCAAACGTGCCTTCTATTTTGAGTATTTTCCAGACGATTAGTGGTAAAAACTAAAAAGATGCCGTTCCTTTATCACACGATGAACGAGTTGCACAATCGATTGGCAAACGCGGAGCTTGGAAAACTCGTTAGATGGCTAGTTGGCTACTAATGCCTCGTTTAGATTGCAAGTTTTGGCACAAAAAATTTTTCATATATTTCTTAATTATACTCCCTCCGTTCCACTTTGATAGGCATGTTTTCCTTTTTCGTCTGTCTCAAATTGTAATCTACTTTCCAATTGAAGAATGTAGTTGTATTTTAATTTTTCTAAAATATCCTTATTCAATGTAAGTTGTTGTACCCCATTTAATGAGAGTTTATTCTTTTTTTACCATCAATTAAAGTTCCCATAAAGTTGTACTCTAATTAATGTGAGGGTATTTTAGGAAAATAGCTATCTAAATTGATTGTTCCAACAAAGTTAACTACTTTTTCGTAAACTGTACGAAAAAGGAACTAGAACTATCAAAGTGAAACGGAGGGAGTATTTTTCATCTTATATACATCACATGATTATGATATATCATTCCTATAAAAATTCTGACAACTTGCAATCCAAAAGGGGGCCTTAAATTTTCTCTATTTACTAAAGTTTTCATGTATCATGAAGTGGTTTTGCAAATTACCCTTTTTTTTTTTGGGCAAAGATTATGTGAATGTGATGACCCATTTGTAAAGAATAAAGCAGATTTCACGAATTCAACAACTTTTGATCGCCTGATGGCTTTTTCATTCATAGCCTACTATCTCACGATTTTATGTAGGTTATTAATTAGTTTTCATCACAACTAATTACTCGTACACTTTCTTCTTCACTATACTTCATATGTTTTTTACACTAAATGATGATTTACGGATCAAGATAAATCTTTTTTTAATGTACATATGCATCAAGTGTGTATCAATGACTAGATAGCATTAGGCTTCTTATAAAACCATTAGTTGGGGTGTTCAACAACAAACTAGAAAAGTGGCTAGTCAAGATTATCGAATTGGTTCAAATTGAAAAATATGCTAACTACCTACAAAATTAATATATATATATGGTAATTGTCCTCAAATTTGAAAATGATCAGATTTTTCTCCTTTTGATAAGTGGAAGGTTTCAAAACCTCCTACTTATAATCCTTCGCACCTTATCATTCAAATCAATCCTCTCCCAAAATGATTAAATTACTTGAACCTATCCTTAAAAAAAAAAAAAAGAAAAGTTACGACTATGGTTTTTTTTTTTAACCGCAATTCCTGCATATGTACAGGGTTAGTTAGGGTAACCCGCATGCAAATCTCAAAACTTAACGATCTATTCGTTTACAAGTAAATTAAGAGACTCATCATATCTTTATATTTTTTTTTTGCAACTTTTTTACTTAACCAGTTAATTCTAACTCGTTCTCACCGTCCAAATTTTCTATTCCTTGATCATAAGATCTGTGCACTCCACCACTCTGCTTATCTTTATTTTCTTACATTTTTATCAAAGAACGAGTTAATAGTTTTCTAAAACGGATGAAGACAAAAATAAAATAAATGTTCGAAATATTTAGCATTTTAATTGTCTTTTGATCATGTACTTTGTTGGTGGACTTTTAGTACTGTGAGATTGACTGCTCCTTTATACTTTGGATATGAGTTGTACAATCGTTTTCTTTACCAGTTGAACAGGTTAGACCATATTCCATGCCGGGTTAACTTAGTTGAATAGGGTTAGTAAACGAAATGAAATTTTATATTGGATCAAAATATGCAACTAGGTCTGTGAAATTACAATTGTATTGATGTCGATCCATAAACACCCCTAATATTCTAAACGGATAGGGCTTATCCGTTTATAATAACGTTCAACAACTAATGGACAGCTTTTTTCCATAAACAATTGACGTCTATCGGAAAATAGAATAAAAATCAAAGGAAAAAGCTATATACCACTCTTACTACGCAAATAATTGGGCATTCACATTCACGAGAGGGTTCCCCGGTCTTTTCCCCAAATAATTGAGGGTTTCCCTGTCTTTTCCCACAACCTTCGCAAATAATTGGATTCACAAGAGGGTTTCCCAGTCTTTTCCCAAAACGTTCGCAATTTGCAGTGGTATAGTACTAGTAAAAATACTTTTAACAACGTAAATAAAAAAAATTTAAAAAAAACCCGTAAAATATTATAGAGTTTTTTGAACGAATGCGCTGTTACATTCAGTATTCACTTAACTTACTATATATATATATATACATATATATAAAAGTATACTAACAATTATTATGATCAATTGGATTTATATACTGTATTATAGAATTTTTTGAACGGATGTCTTATCACATTTATATACTATATTATAGATTTTTTTGAATGAATGTCCTATCATATCTAGTATTCAGCTAATTTATTATATATATAAGTATATTAACAATTTTTATGATCAATTGAATTTATATACTTTTTTTATTTAATGTTGCTTATGCTTCCTTATATTTATTTAATTTTTTAAATTATGTAATATTTTTAAAAATATCACATCTAAAATATTTTTGTTAACGAGAACCCCATATATATATATATATATACCCGTTAAACAAACCGAATACTAGTCTATTATAGTCATTGAAACCAAGCATCGGCGGTATCTTGGTAGCGGTAGCATAAGTATTTTTATTAGTGATTGAAGTCAAGCATCGGCGGTGTTCCAGTAGAGTGATAAAGCCCTGTGCGCTTTTCCCTTTCTAGAGCCTTCTATTTTTATCTATTTGCGAGATTGTTCCTGTCCTATCCTGTCCTGCTCTGCTCTGTTCTGAGAAGCGAACCATGGCATCGTCGGATCTGGAGACCAGGGCTAAAGAAGCCTTCATCGACGACCACTTCGAGCTGGCCGTTGACCTCTATTCTCAAGCCATCTCCGTTAGCCCTACGAACGCTGAGCTCTTTGCTGATCGCGCTCAAGCCAACATCAAACTCAACAACTTCACCGGTATTTTATTCTTCCGATGAAATCCTTTTTTTTTTTTTTTCGGTTGTATATTTTTAGGAGCGACGAAATCCTTATTTAAATTCAACATACAGTATTTCTATTTAGTTTGCTATACAGTATTCCTATTTAGCTTGCTATACAGTATTCCTATTTTTGGGATCTATTCGACTAATCTATTGTTGCTTATCTACATGTTGCATATGTAGGAAGGTTGCTTGCTTCAATAGCTCAACCATCTTTTTTGGCACGTTTTGTTTCTCGTTTTAATGTCTAAAGATTTAGTTAAATGTCTGACATATAGTTTTGCCTTCTCACTTGACTTTTTTGCGACTTTTTCTTGTTGATCGAATATCACTTCATTAAACTGTTCACACCACGGTAGACAGATTTTATTATTTACTTTTATTCGTCTACTCTAGAAAATTTAATTTTTTTTTTCTTGTTTGGAATTGGTAATGCTTCTTGAGTTGATAAAAGGACGAACCAACTCACTAAACATGAAAGGTTTTTGTATTTTGTCTTGTATGGATGTTATGGAGGAGTGCTGGTTCAGATATATTGGTTGTGTTGTATTTTGTGTGCCCTAATACATGAATATTGATTCCCATGAGCAGAAGCTGTTGCTGATGCGAACAAGGCCATTGAATTGGATCCTTCCATGCCCAAAGCATATTTCCGGAAAGGGTGAGTATTTTGGTGCATCTCTATGCCTCTTACTTTACTGATATTCTTGGCATTGTTGCTGTTTGCGCCCAGGACTTGTTTTGTTCTCTCTGTATTTTTTAAAATTTCTTTCTTTTCACTTGAGACTTACCTCCCTTTTTATGCGGTTATCCATGTTGAAAACTTTGTCCAGCTTCCACACGGAGATTATCTTGTGGCTTCCCTTATTGGGCCATTAGAAAATCAGTTGGCTACACATATTAATTTATGGCACTGAATGAATTTCAAGTGTATACAACTGTCCAACTGCACTTCATTATGATTATCCTCATGAATGACTAGTAGCATTTATTTTCCTTACAGTCTCGCCTGCATCAAGCTTGAGGAATACCAGACTGCCAAGACAGCTTTGGAAGTGGGTGCTTCTTTAGCACCTGGTGACTCAAGATTCAATAATTTGATTAAAGAATGTGACCAGCGCATTGCAGGTACAACTCTTCTGTTTGGCATAGATTTTAATAGCATAATGGTAATGTCATTGTCCATGACTTGTTTTTAAATTATTGGTGCCTTGTTCTCGTAGATCAATTCACATTGTGGGGATACCGGTTTCTCCTTCACAACTATGTAGCTTAATTTGACAGTTCTGCTGTTTGACATGATTGTAGTAGGATAATAGTAATGTCATTGTCCATGACTTGTTTTTAAGATTATGGACGCCTCTTGCTCATAGATCAATTTTGCGGTGGGGAAACTGGTTTCTCCTCCTTGACCACATACCTTAATTTGAAATTTATGGAATATCATGATGGTATATATCTTTTTCAAAAGAGACTTCCCCATGATATGAAGTTGAATGCCAGGGTTAATAAGCTGAGTCATTATAGAATACAAAAAAAGGGTTGTCTAGGAGCATGCTTGAAAGAAAAGAATTAAAACTCCCACTATTTGTGCATGTATGTACATCTGCGTACGTTATATCAGCTTAATGACCTCATATGAGTCCATCGGAAGCTGAAAAGGCTGCCAACTGCCAAGCTCTGAAGAGAACCACTGATTTTGTTTGGCTGGGATTTTGATAGTTGGGTGTGAGTTGCACCTTTCATGCAGTCGAATGGAGCTTCTTTTGATGTCTGTCAAATGTTGCCCTTTTTTTTTTCAAAAAAAAAAAATTGTATGTATATCTTTATGTGCTTATCTCTGAAATTTTAAAGTTGTGGCTTACATGCAAAATAGCTTCTATTACATTCTAGGTAATCTTTATGTAACTTAATTTGTTTTCTGATTTTGTTTCCTTTTCAATTTAAGAGGAAAATGGAGTGTTGCCAAACAAATCGCCGGAGGCCCCAATAGTTGTTGATACAACTGCTGCAATTCCGAAGGTTGCTGAGCCAGCCATCAGTATATCCAACCAGACTACTAGTTTGTCATCTGCCAAGTCAAAATACAGGTTATTGCAAACTTGTATCTCCCTTTTCTCTTCCATATGGCATCCTCTAAGACTCGATACAACCTGTTGCAACATTGGAATGTTTACCATAGCCATGGTTGGTCAGATCTCATAACCTGGCCAATGGTTCCTCTATGAGGCAAGCCAATAAAGTATTAAGCAGTCTGTCATTAGTAGTGTTACTTTGATGTTGATTGACCATTTAGCTAATTGTTGGAAAGTTTTTTATTATACATGCTGATAGATTCGTAATACCACCTTTTGTTGGCATGCCATTTTCTAGAGCCTTAACAGTTTGAATTGATTAAGATTCAAGTTTCTGATGATTAATTGGATACTTATGCTTAAAAATTATGTGTTGCAGGCATGAATATTATCAAAAACCAGAGCAAGTTGTTGTAACTATATTTGCAAAGGGTATACCAGCAAAAAATGTTACAGTGGACTTTGGTGAACAAATAGTATGTTCATTCTTTCTGTTGATATCTATAGATTCTTAAACATGGTTCACACCATTTAATGTTCTTAAGATGGTTTGACTTTCCTTTTTCCTTTTTGTTGCTTTGCAGCTTAGTGTTACTATTGATGTGCCTGGTGAAGATACATATACTTTTCAACCACGATTGTTTGGAAAGGTAAAATGTTAACTTGATATTATAGTTCTGGCAAAGAGATATCTGCTCTCTAGTGTCTCATAACACTTAACTGTCATATGGTAGCTGGAACTATTCTTTGGTCAATCGGCATGTTGAAACATCAGGAGACTGAGTTTTGTATGAACTAGTGTATGCATCATGGGTAAAAATATTAGCGACATGTGTCTGATTAGGAATTATTAATGATAAAAAACCTGAGTTTACTATAAATCATCATTAGACTTTTAAAGCAGTGAAACTCTGCTTTTCATTCCTGCTATTAATTTATGCACGGCCAGTGGGTCTTTGTAAATCGTGTTCTTTTTTTTATGGTGTCAGAAAATTATGTTTTTACATTAACTTTCTAATTTTTTTGTGGACTTTGGTGTTGTCTTCATATAAACAGATCATTCCTGCAAATTGCAGATATGAAGTTCTGTCCACAAAAATTGAAATCTGCCTTGCAAAAGCTGAAGCTATACACTGGGCGTCTCTCGAGTATAGCAGGGATAATGTGGCTTTGCAGAGGATAAATGTTTCATCAGGTAGGTTTAGTTGCACGAGTTCTTTGCTAGCCTGGAAATAATTGCTGTGCACTGGTAGATTGTCTGAAAATGCACCAGTAGGCCTGGTTAAGAAGTTTGTTTTTTTCCGGAAATTAAAAGTGGAACAGAAACTGGTTTTTGTGTGCTGTCTATGTTGGTTCTTTTTTCGTGAAGTCAATGTCCATGTGGTCAGGTATATATGCCTTTCTTACAGTTACTCAAACTTGAGATGCATTTATTCTCCCAAGATGTTACAGAGATAAGATATTGGTCACAGTTGATAAGCTTTACCGTCGTACCTTTGCATTTTGCAGGAAGTCAAAGACCCACTTACCCATCCTCGAGAGCAACAAAAGATTGGGATAAGCTTGAGGCTCAAATGAAAAAGGAGGTATACATGTTATCTCTGCTATTTCTATTGGTCTT